TGTTGCTGTTGTTGTTGCTGTTGTTGCTGTTGTGTTCTTGTAAAATCAAAATGACCACGATTAGCAGAATTTGAACGAGATACAAGCCTAGGATTTGAATTTGATCTTGAAAGTGATGGTATAGGAAATCGATCATTTTCAGGTGAACTTTGTTCCTGAAAAATAATAACCAAAATAAGTAAATAAATATTTTTACTTTGAAATATAGATAGATATATTTAAATTACCTTATAGTATGGATATCTAATTGAATATGAATTATGATTGTTATGATTATTAATAATGTTGTTGTTTAGACATGTTTTTAATAAGGATTTAACCGCCACCAAAAGTCTTATTCTGTCACCTATTGATCTTATTTTAAGTTCTTTAAGAACTTCATGATCTATTTCCAATAGTACATCACCTGTGATATCATTTTCTGCATGTGTGCATATTGTAAGCAAGCAGAAATTTTATAATTATAATAATTAAAAAAAAAATCAAACTTTAATATACACCTGTAAATAATCTTTGATATTCACGAAAATTATTTTCTTGTAACCAATTTGATACTTGGTCCAATTTCCAATGTCGAACACTTTCAATAGTTATTCGACCTTCTATTGTGGGTGATGGAGGAGACGAATCCATCGGTGTTAAAGAGATTTGTGTCATATTATTTTGATTATTATTATTATTGGGATTGGAAACAATTTATTTTAAAAATTGATTTCTAGAAATTTACTTTTTAAAGAAAAAAAAAGCATTAGCCATTTTTGTGTCAATATTTATTTCTACCCCACAGATTGTTAATATAATGTATAATATCATTCCACTTTATTTGTAGAAATAATAAAATAATAAGAACATTCAAATACTAAATGCGTGTATTATTGGTGTTGGTGTTGCTTTATAAGTAATGCAACTCCAAAGATCTTTGACAGCTATATATGTTAATACTATTAACACTTTTCTTAAAGTTAGAAAACATTTACTCGATTTTCAAATTACTAAGAGCAAGAATAAATTTCATAGCGAAGATGTTAGTAATAAAAACAACTTTACGCAAAAAATCAACAAGTTACAAATGCCAGTAAGACCCAACTATAGTGCACCTAAACTACCAATTGTATTATGTCACGGTAAGTTGAATTATGTTAATTTTATTATTATTAGTATTATTCTTTTTATCAAGTTTTAAATCATGTTTTTTATTTTTTTATTAGGACTATTTGGATTCGATAAACTTGGTTAGTTATATATATATATATATATATTTGTTTTTACATAAAAATGATTACCATAACAAATAATGTTATCATTTAATTAAAAAAAAGGTCCCGATGCAATTCCATATTTACAAATACATTATTGGGGAGGTGTCCAAGAAGCTCTTAAAAAGCTTGGTGCTAAAGTTGTCACTACTAAAGTTCCAAGGTATATTTAATCAAAATATCCTATTCTACTCCAATTAGCGATTTACTTTTATTGTATTTTTATAAGAATTCTATTTTTGGTTTCAAATAAAGAACTGGTTGTATTCGTGCTCGTGCACTAGCTTTACATCGTATCTTGGAATCTACTTTACATGGATTCGAATTGAACTTATTAGCACATTCAATGGTTGGTATTAATTAATTAATAACCATACTATAATTCGATTATATATATATAGAATTTATGGAAGCAACATCAGCTCATAGACCATCATTGCAAGGTTCAGTATTTTGGATGGCGCCAGAAGTAGTAAAACAAACAGCTTATACAAGTAAAGTTGATATATGGAGTTTAGGATGCTTGATTGTAGAAATGTTTACCGGGGATCATCCATTTCCTGAATTTAATCAAATGCAAGCAATGTTTAAGATTGGTTCAGAATCATGTGCTCCTGAAATTCCTCCTGATTTGTCTAATGATGCGGTAGATTTTTTGAAAAAGACTTTTGAATTGTAAGTATTAAAAAAAATAAATTCTTTTTTTTGATTTCAAATTTTAATAATTAAAATTTTTTGTTTGTTCTTTTTAGAAATCATGATGAAAGACCAACGGCAGCATTTCTTTTAAATCATCCATTTGTGATGACATAATTTATTGTATTTAATCTAATTTATGTGTGTAATTAAGTTTTTTATTTTTATTCTTTGTTAAGATATTAATGACAGTTAAAAAAAAAGCACTAAAAAAATTATTATTATATTAATATTTTTCTATAAAAAATATTATTAAATAGATCAAAGTAAATAAATAACAAGATTCACTGTAACTAGTGAGTGAGCTTTGATTCACGAAAATGAGTTATTATTTAAAATTTGTTAATTCAGTTTTGTTTCTAACAGAGTTATTTACTTTCCTGGTGGTTTGATGGATCTTCTACCTTACCATCTAAAAATAATTGATTATATACATATAAAGATTTTTTATAAAGGTATGAACATACATTTATCTTCAAATCCAATACAGCAACCATAAGTTTACCAAAGTCTAGTAATTCAAGAATTTGTTTAGCCAAATCATTGTTACTGATGAAATTGCTGAAAGCTGTTTGATCAGCAACGATAATAGAACCAAGAAAGTCGCCGTCAATAAGCTTGATTGAAGATTTAGGTAAGCTGAATAAAATGTAATCTGCAACTAAGCAAAAATTGGGAAAGGAAAGAAAATTGGAAGAGGAATAATTTACTGCCTCTTAACATACAACCTGTGATAATGACAGTCGCAAAACGTGGTTCACAAGATGATGTATCAAGATTAAAATTAGTATTCTGTAATTCTTCCAGCTATTATTTAATGTAATAGTTATTGAAAAATTCACTCGTCAAATATTAATAAACAGTTTTCCAAATGACAAAATATGCAAAAAAAAAAATTTTTGTCCCCTTATCATTATTATTAGAAATAATTCAGAAAATGAAAATAACAAGCATTCATTATCTATTTCATCGTTATATGGTCTTTCAGAAACATAGATAATGAGAGAAACCAATACCATTTATAAGTATCCCAGCTCATCAGTAATGATGGCGACGTTGCAATTGTCGACCTTCAAGGAATACCCACAATGCATCTGTCACATATATCTGACACATACGTCTGACACATACGTGAATATTATGAGCCCAAGAAGGGTAGCCCCACACGTTCCATGACCAACAAAATAGAAGATACAAATAAACTTAAGGTATGGCAATTCCTCTGTGAATGAAAAGAAACTTGTCTTAATATTAATATAATAATAATAGTATTGGTATTGTGTTATTAGTGAAAGATTTATAATTACTGAATTGGGTTTCAGAACAGGTAAATTCTCTCTATCTATCCAATCAGTCAGTCTCTGTGTTTATTAACTCCTTAAATATTAACATTGTGCTTGGTATACTTTATTAGAATTATTGGAGAGAGTTGAAATGGAAATGGACGCACGGAGTTGGCTCTTTTACTATCATGCAAACTCCTTCGTTTGGTATTGATTAAAATCAAAGCGTTAGATGAAATAAAAAAAGATGAAAGCGAGAAGTATGTTGAATTTTTTATAACAGAAATGAAGAAATCGAAGACTTTTACAATCAATACAACGATGCAATTTATTTAAATCTAGGGCACGAGAGGTCAAAGAAGAAAAATTGGAAAAGTCACCAGATGGAAAAGTTAAAAATAAACATAGAGCGCGTTAATAATTAACGCATAACCTTGGAAAGAAAGTTCCATGTTTATAAAGGAAAATCATTTGCAAACTTTTCTTTATCTCTAAATATGATTATTGGTATTAGTATTGGTATTATGACTGTGATATGCTTCTATATATATTAAAAATCATTGCTTTTGCATTTTTTTACAAAATTCTCATTTATTTTATTTGTGATTTATGATATACGTAAAGATTAAAATAGAAAATGCTAAAGCTAACAACGATATATATTATTTATAATTTAAGATGAAAGAGGAAATTAAAACCTAAACTGTTTTTTTTGAACAGTGTTGGCACAAGTTATTATTTTCAGCAATCAAAGATCCCAACTTCTTTTTTGTTTTTTACAAATATTGTTTTATATTTATTAAATTTATCTCGCGAATCTGCACTTGTTATTATTACTTGATCAATTTCCAAAATGCACATTTCTATGTGAATAAATTATTTAGTTCGTGATAAGCGATCCAGTTTATATGGCTTTTATCACTTAACCAATCTACATTTGAATGATGGGCGTTGTTTCGATTATTATAACAGTTGTATCTTCTATTTTTTCCGTCAATTGAGAAATGTTTCAACGTTTTTTTGTTCTTTCAAACAATTTTTTATAATTATCAAGCTTATTTTGTGATTCAGTTATTCCTGTTACTTTATCAATTTCCAATATGCCGATTTTCATATCCAAATTGTCGCGCAAATTTTGTAACTTGTGGTGAGATATCCAATTTCTATGATCTTTATTATTTAACCAATCTACATTTGAATGATGAGCATTATCACAGTCATCTTTGCAAACAACATCGCTATTGACAGATGCCATTCTTGATATATAAATGTTTAATATTTTGTGTTCGGTCTTTTTTGCAACTTAAAACTGAAATTATGGTATTATGATAAATGCTATTTGGAATTCCAAATTGTCTTGTATTGATTTTTTTTTAAAGTATTCGCGTATAATCAATATACGTACAATACATCTTCCTATTATATATTGTACAATCGCGACATTTAACATTTATTTGGACAAAAATTAATTTATTGAATAACAAATAATAGGTTCTTATAATTAATATATATTAATATATAAAAAGGATGAATTTACATTTTAAAATAAAAAATAAATAAATAATCCCTCTTGAAAATAAATATCTATCAAAGAAAAAAAAATATATTTTCCCAAAATTATGCATGCCATGTTGGAACTTACTATTTCTGTATTATATAGTAACCATAGCTAAGGAATTATTGAAGAAAGTCAGAAATTAACTGGAGAAAATCAGAATTAATTAAAGAAAATCGGAAATTAACTAAAAAAAATCGGAAATTGACAATACTAATGAATATCATAATCAGGAATTTAATAATAATAATATTATTATTATTATTAGCTGAAAAAATCGGAATTTATTTAAAAGATCAGAAGTCGTTTGAAGTAATAGTAATCAGAAATTATGAATATGAAACTGAAAAGCAATGTATATACCCATTATAGGAATTTATCGTGCAATGACAAATTTTATATTAATATTATTTTTTTAATATTAATAAAGAAATTCATATAATAATATGAATTCAATATATAAAACTTTTCAAATGTGTTTCATCTTTTCAATATATTAATATTAATATTAATATAGTATATAATCATCGCGTAAAACTGTTACAAAAAAATTATATTTTGAATTTTATTAAAAGTTCATGTATTGTTTTTATATATTTTGAATTGTATTAAAATTTATGTATTGTTTAAACACTTCCTGGT